GGCCGACTTCTCTCGACCTCGACTTCCTCCCATCTCAACCTCTCCTCTGCTTCTACTTCAACCCGGGGTCGAGTCGCAAGCATGAGGCACCTCCCTTGCACTCCCTCCGGCCACATAACTTTTGATTCAGTGACATTCTTCTAGAAGTTTCTCTCCCGCGGGGCATTTTCATTTCAATGATCCCAGCGCGAGGCGAGGACGGTGGATACGATGTCCATTCCTGTCATTTTGTTTTGTTTTTTTAATATACTCATTTGACTGATGACATCACGCTATTTTTTGGACTGTGAAATAGATCATGCTTGACTGGTCTGTATATTACGGTTCACTGAAATATATACACATATTTGTGATGATATGAATGTAAGTTTTATTTTCAATATCTGCGAATGTAAATAAGACTTCTCAAAAATGGAATATTCTGTTTGATGAGAGATACGAGGTATATTCATATTTTTACGCGTGTAACATCAATAAAAAAATAATACTGGATAAATTTATTTTACTATATTATATAACTAGGATGTGGAGAGGGAGATCAGGAAGAGAGGAGAGCAAGAGAGATAGAGGGAGGAGGGAGGAGGGAGAGAGAGAGAGAGAGAACTAAGAGAAGAAGAAGAGAGAGAGAGAGAGGGAGAGAGAGTGGGGGCATGATTTGGAGAGAGAGAGAGAGAGAGAGAGAGAGAGAGAGAGAGAGAGAGAGAGAGAGAGAGAGAGAGAGAGAGAGAGAGAGAGAGAGAAAGGAACAAAGAGAGAGAGAGAGAGAGAGGAGGGGAGAACTAAAAGAAGAGGAGAGAGAGAAAAACAAGCAATTCCATAGACAGGATGCACAACAGAGAGAGAGAAGGAGAGGAACAGAGAGAGAGAAAGAGAAAGAGAGAGAGAGAAAGGAAGAGAGAGAGAGAGAGGAGAGAGAGAGAGAGAGAGAGAGAGAGAGAGAGAGAGAGAGAGAGAGAGAGAGAGAGAGAGAGAGAGAGAGAGAGAGAGAGAGAGAGGAGGGGAGAACTAAAAGAAGAAGAGGAGAGAGAGAGAGAGAAACAAGCAATTCCATAGACAGGATGCACAACAAATGGAACATACTCAGAAATGGGCCATTCAGCAACGGGAGAAAACTACAAAAAAAGGTAAAAAAGAGTAAAGTTGCAACAATATTATAATGGAGCATTGTTAAAGAAAAACAAAGCAACACAAAGGTTTACACTATCCCACCTTTAATAATAAAAGATGGGACACTAGCAGTAAGCTCCGAAGGAAAGACAGATATACTGGCGAGACATTTCTCGAGTAAAATGACAGCTCCTTATCTTGAGCAAAAAACACCCACACTTCCCATCTTGAGTAATGAGAAACTAAGCAGGATTACAACAAGCGAGAGAGAAGTGGAGAAACTCCTTCGCAATGTAGACACAAGAAAAGGTACATGACCTGGCGGTGTTAACCTTCAGCTGCTCCAGAGGTGCGCAAAGGAGCTGTCATTTTCTCTCCCTTTAATTTCACATGCTTAAGCTTCTGCAAATGACCTGCAGTTTAGAAACAAAGTAATGTTGTCCCCATCTTTAAAAAGGGGGACTAAGTCAGTTCAAAAAATTAACGGCCAGATTCCTTGCTGTCAGTCATCAGCGAAATATTTGAAAACCACCTCAACCAAAACCATCTTCTGTCTACCCGTCAATATGGTTTTCGGAAGAATCGCTATGCTCCCGACTTGCTGGTACAGATGACTGCAGACTGGTCAGCTGTACTTGGCCGCGGACAGCGCACTTGTGTTCTTGCCCTGGACATAGAGGGAGCCTTTGATTGTGTATGGCACCTAGCTTTGTTATGCAAGTTAAAAGCATTTGGAATGGGCGGTAAACTCCTGGTCCTTTTGAAAAATGGAAAACATTCTCAATGGAAAACACTCTGTTTACTACAACATCAAAACAGGTGTCCGTCAAGGAAGCACATTGGGCCCTCTGCTGTGGAATGTCTTCCTCAATGAGCTGCTCCGCCTCATTCCTGAAGCCAAAGTATTTGCGGATGATGGAACACTCTCCTTTAGGTATGAGCGTAGGGAGCAGGATGCCGCCATAGAAAAACTAAATGACAGACTCGCACAAATCTCGACATGGGGGGAGAAATGGCAGGTCTCCTTTGCTCCGAATAAAACCCAGCTTATGGTTGTCGAGAGGACGAACAATGATGTGCGAGTAAACTTCAATGGGAAAAAAAATAATACCACAAGAGGAGATTGACATACTGGGCATCACATTCGACAAAAAATGACTATTGGATGGTGAGGGGAAGGAGGTCCTCTACAAGGCACAAATTCTCTCTTCACTCGATTACTCCTGCCTCACGTGGGAAGAAGCAAACATCACTAACTTCAAAATCTTGGACAGAATACAAGAAAGAGCGAAGAAAATCATCGAAGACAGGACCCAACAGTATCAACTGCACCTCGACAGCCTTCAGCACAGGAGAGACGAAGTTCCTTTTCCATCGCCAACACGTCCCGCACCTGCAGCCAATGAGACGAGAACGAGAACAGTGGAACGAGCGCCGCCGCACTGGAGGAACCTTGTTGTTGCGCGGCGCACCACCAGCGACAGTTTCTCTCCAGATATTCCAAATTATGGGATCTTTTCATTTCTATCATCGATGTGGAAGCTCAGTCCTTAAAATCTTTCAAATGCAAAACACATGTGTGGCTAAAGAACACAAAAAAGAAGAAAAGAGAGAAAGAGACAGACGAAAAGAGAGAAAGAGACAGAGAGACAGAAAGAGACAGAGAGACAGAAAAAGACAGAGAGAGAGAGAGACGGCAGCTAATATCTTGTCCTTGACGTTTCCTTATCAAGGGCAAAAAGTCAATGTCAGTGTCAACTTTCCCCTAGCTTCTTGTTGCATGCAATGAACGTGGTGCATTTTTACATAAACTTTTGTTTGGTTTACAGTGTCTTTGTTACATTACTGGGATATTATGGTTGTTGTTATCATTATCTTTAGCACCATTGTTATTAATAATATCTTGATTATCATTTGCAGTGATTATTATCATTATTATTATTATCAGTAATGTTATCATCATCGTCATTATTAATACTATCATTATTGTTACTATTATTATTATTATCATTTTCATTGTCATTATTATAATCATTATCATTATCTTTAGTATCCTTGTTATTACTATTGTTGTCATCATCATTGTTATTATTATCAATATCATTAACACTATCATCATTTTTGTTATTATTATTATCATTAGTATCATCATCATTATCACTATTACTGTTATCATTATTAACACCATTACTATTATCATTATCCCTTTTATCATTATCATCAAAATTAGTATTATTGCTATTATTATCGTTATCATGCTTTTATTATTGTCATTATTATCATCATCCTTATTATTATCACTATTATCAATACTATCATTATTATCATTATCATTACCATTGTTATTGTTTTATTATTATTATGATTATTACTATTATTATCATTATCATTTTTACTATTACTATTATTATTATCAGTATCATTATTATCATTATAAGTATTAGTATAGTTGTTACAATTATTAGTATCAGAATTATTAGCATTATCATTACTATCAGTATTATTATCAGTATTATCACTGGTAGAAAAAAACACAATGCAAAAACTAATTTTTGCATTGTGGGTTTTTTCTACCATAGTATCTACACGGAAAAGTGTTTTACCATTCATTATTATCATTATTGTTATCCCCTACTATGGCCATACCCTAACCTTCACCCTCCCTTCATACCCCCCCTTCCCCCTTTCTCTCTATTCTTTAACCTTCGCTTCTCCTTTACCTTCGCTTTATCCCCAGCCACTCCTTGCCTCCCTTGACACTTACAACAGCATTAACATGATAACCAGCGAACCGATCATCTTTACCTTCGGGTTATTCTGGCGTGTTTTCTTTTCTTTTTTTTCGTTCTTTTCTTTTTTGTTGTTGGTTTTAGAGAGGGGGGGGAGAGAAGGGGGGAGAGGGAGAAAGAGAGGAGAGAGCGAGAGAGAGAGAGAGACAGAGAAAGAGAGAGAGAGAGAGAGACAGAGAGACAGACAGACAGACAGACAGACAGACAGACAGACAGACAGACAGACAGACAGACAGACAGACAGAGACAGAGACAGAGAGATGGTGAGCAAAGAAGGAAGAGAAAAAGAGAAAAAGAATAAAAGCTGTCCCGAAAACAAAGCACACGATTTATCATGTACTACCATTCTCGTAAGTCTCACCGGCGTTGTACCGTCGATAGGGACCGGCATTCCTTGACTATAGAGGTGACTTAACCTTCGAGGCAAGAAAAGCTTAAACTAGGAACTAAAATTCTTGACAATCTTTTCCTACAATCTAAAGGTTCGTCGACCCCCTAGTCATTTGATGGAAGAGAACGAAGTAGGGTTATTGCAATAACCAAATCCTTACACTCACCATCACCAACCTTTGCATCATCTGTAGTCGTGTTTCTTCATATACGGAAAATGCATATCTTTGCAATGCAGAAGGAGAGCTATGAACACTGTACTAATAACACTGAAATAGCACACAGTGTTAAGGACGCATAACTCAGCTTGTAATACAAACAGGAATAACGAGAGATGTTTTTTAGATTTTCAGAGATTTCATTTTGTTTTGGACGGCGCTTTGAAGGTCAAGGTCACTGAACGCCACCTGCCTCATTTTTTTATCTCTCAATTTTGAAGACTTATGAATATGCTTTGGCTTGAGAACATTCTTATGCTTTGTTATAAGTGTGTGTGTGTGTGTGTGTGTTATGTGTTGTGTGTGTGTGTGTGTGTGTGTGTGTGTGTGTCTGTGTGCCTCTTTATTATGTTAGTTATATTGTCAGAGCTATCGTAGTTTATGTTATCAAGTCTATCGTTTTCTATGAAAGTGTGCTCTAGAAAACGTAATTTTGCCGGAAACTATATTTTTTGACATCATTTTATTCTGGAAAAAGGGAACGGAAAGAACATCATTACCTTATTACTTTATTGATTTATGAAAATATAAATATTATGCTCCATAACACAGGATTTTCTTTGCTATTAGATCCTGTTTTGCACATAAATGGCAGTGAAGATGACGGAAGATAACCCCATGCATATCATTAATGCTGAAATGAGGTAATTATATTCTGAAAACAATGCAACATGAGTCTAAGTCAAGGCAGTTTATCCTCACCGACGTCCCTCAACACTCCCTGGGGGTCAGTGGTCAACCCTATCGACACCGGAGTCCGTTCCCCGAGAGAATGGGTTCTATACGCCTCTTTCTCCCTCGGGCGCGCGATCAGGACGGCGGTGGTGATTGTACTGGCGAAGCAGAAGGCGAACAAGGACACGGTATGGGTGAGGAGGCGCGTGGGCGGCAGAAGAGCAGGCAGGATCAAGTGCTCCAACACCAGCTGAAGGACAGCGCCCCCAGCGGCCAGCAGCAACACGTGTCGCGGTGTCTGGCGCTGTGAAATTCGCAAATCAAGTTGTGAGTCAGTGAGGTAAATCATGTTTTTTTTTTTTCCATGATGAGTCCACTTACACCCAGCTGATACTCACCCTGAGCCAGATGAGGCAGGGGTTCGTCGGGTGGTAGGTGAGGATCCTCGGCGCCCAGATGAACACGAGGGACACCAGCAGCGCCGTCCACAGCACCGTCAAGCGGGTCAGGAGGGGCGGCGCCGTGTCCTGGTGGATTAGGGCGCCGCACCAGGGGTTGAACGAGCACTCCTCGGCTGGCACGCGACGCATCTGGCACGGGGCATGAGGAGTATTAGAGGGGGAAGGACAGAAAAGGAATGATAGAGGGGGTAGGGTAAAAGAATATGAAAGAATGTGTCGGGGCAAAATCATGATCAAGTTCGGGTAAATAATTATACATGTGATCTACGATACACCACTGATAAAAGTGACTATAATGACATTTTCATGTGGAAGATATATATAAAAAATACAGTTTTATCATAACCATCCATTAACCCTACTGACCATCCGCATGTTATAAATTATATATACATTTGCCAAAAGCGAATTGACATGTTTTGTGGATGCTGTGCTCAGTTTATATTATATGCCACGAACATGTAAGAATGAACTTACTAGATTTTTATAATTCCTTTGTGAAACTGATACGTGATGATATATTCAGGTGAATATCATGTATTATTTTTTTTGTGAGCATAGCTATTCTATTTTTTTTTAAATGATAAAAGCTTCTCTCTCTCTCTCTCTTTCTCTATATATATTTCTTTCTCTCTCTCTTCTTCTCTTCTTTCTTTCTCTCTCTCTCTCTCTCTCTCTCTCTCTCTCTCTCTCTCTCTCTCTCTCTCTCTCTCTCTCTCTCTCTCTCTCTCTCTCTCTCTCTCTCTCTATATATATATATATATATATATATATATATATATACATATATATATATATATATATATATATATATATATATATATATGTATATATGTATATATATATGTATATATATATATGTGTGTGTGTGTGTGTGTGTGTGTGTGTGTGTGTGTGTGTGTATACATATATGTCTACATATTTATATATATATATATATATACATATATATATATATATTTCATATTTATTTTCTCTATATCTATCTATCTATCTATCTATATCTATATATCTCTCTCTCCCTCATTCTCTCTCTCTCTCTCTAACCCCCTCCCTCATCCTCTCTTCACTTTCTTCCTCTCCTTTCTCCTCTCTCCTCTCTCCTCTCTTCTCTCTTCTCTCTCCTCTCTCCTCTCTCCTCTCTCCTCTCTCCAAACCTCCTCTCCTCTCCCCCCCGTCTCTCTCTCAGATAAACAAGCAACGGATTACAACACACACACTAAAACAAAGAAAATACAAAGAATCCTCACATCTAGTACGTGAACCAAGTTATCCTTTAAAAAGCCTCTTTCCTCATCGAAGTCCCATTCACAACAAAGATAGACAGAAGCCTCACTCAGAGACAGACAGTCGTAAAGGCACCATCAGAAAGGGATACAGACAGACACTCACAGATGGCTCACTCAGGAAGGGATACAGACACACAGATGGCTCACTCAGAAAAGGAAACAGACAGACACTCACAGATGGCTCACTCAGAGAAGGAACAGACAGACACTCACAGATGGCTCACTCAGAGAAGGGAACAGAGTGGGAAACAGAAGGTAAGAGACACATCGAAGTTTCATTTTGAGACGGAAACAAACCACACTCGCCGAAGCCTGAATTAGAGCGGGAAACAGACAGACACTTACTGAAGCCTCAGTCAGAGCTGGGAACGAACCAGTTACCGAATCCTCAGTTACAGCGAGAACAAGAGAGAAGGAAATACACAGACACTTACCGAAGCCTCAGTCAAATTTCAGGAATGAACCACGCTCACCAAAGCCCCAATTAGTACGGGAAACGAACAAAAGGAAACAGGCATGCACTCACCGAGGCCTCAGTCAGAGAGGGAACCATGCACCAGAGGTTGTCCTTCACCGAAACGCGACACAGAAAAGGAGAAATAAACTTCTCCGCTAGCCACGCTCGGGAGATCATTTCCACGCTCTCCTGGATGCCGCTGACAGCCCACAGCCTCAGAACCTGAAGCCGCGGCGAACCCCTGTGCTGTGAGAGAAAGATGTGGGCGATAGAAGTAGATTGAAAAGGCAATAAAGTGATGTGGAAGGAGAAACAGAAACTGGGAGAGGGAGTGGCATGAGAGATAGAGGTTCAGCAAAGGAATTTATGGAATATTTTGCATATATAGTATTATGAATATCACTGATATTGTTATTATTACCATTGTCGTCACCAATATCATTATCATCTTTGGTGCTGGTATTATTGTTTGCTTTTCTTGTTGCTATCATGACTATTACCACCATCATTTATTATCAACGTATTATTTTTGTTATCAGTATTGCCAGTCGTCACCACTATCATTATATCATAATCATCATCATCTTCATCATCATAACCGTTACTATTATTAGAAGGGAAAATAGTCACATACAAAAATCACACTTCTTATCATGCTGACCATTAGAGAAAAAAAAAACATAGACCAAAA